CCCCATGGTCTGGTCATCTGTGCTTGGTCCTATAGTAATGCCCACCACCTCCCTGGTCCCCACCTCTATATCACTGAGTTACTGACTTCTAGGTTGCCTTTTACTGACTAGACCCCCAGCTGGAGCCAAGGTCTAAATGTGAGAAACAGGGCTGCCAATCTGGGTCCATGCTTACTGAAATCCAAGCTATTTCTCCACATACAAGGCCCAACCTTACAAGGTGGAGATTTCTGTATAGGGATTGGTGAGTGCTGTTCTCTCACAGCTCTACTGTAAAAGTGCATGCATGATAAGAACTGACAACCATTAGGGGTGACCCTCACCTAGTCACCTGATAATTTGGCCTGCCCCTGGGTTAGCTGCTCACCTGGTCTCCAGGCAGCTCAGAGAAAATTCACAGGTACATTCATCTTTACAGTTGATCTAGGTGTGTACTCACAGGAGCTTGTGGATCCTAAATAAGGCTTCCACAATGAATAAAAACAGTAATGATTGTTGCATTCATTACCTTTTATGTAAGTGAGAGGTTTACCCTGAGGAGTTTCAGGCAATGACCCCACCTGACAAAAAGTGGTATTGCAAGAACTTCAAGTCTTCAGTATGGGGCAGCCCATTTACCTTCTGCCCTCTAGTTTGGTTAGGGTGATTCTCTCTGCAGTGAATTCCTTCACATTATTCAGATTATTACACACTTTAGAGTCATTTCAAATTGGCCTCTTAATATAGTTGAGGTCCCCTATAAGCTCTTTTCTTAATTGAATAAAAATTTTTCTCCCAGCGAAATGCACATGTGCTAGGTAGATCAGTAGAACAATGATAGGTGGAGTGAGGAATTGATAGCTATACTCTCTAAGATACCACTGCAGGCTCTCCACCAACAAGGTTGTTCTATAAATCACCCAGGGGCTGGAAATAAAAGTAGATTTAGAGTGTTGTCCTTTGGTTCATTTAAATTGTGGCAAATTTCCCTCAAATGCCTTTGTGACATATGTAACCTGGAAAAACTGTATGCTGTGCGGGTAGATTAGTGTTGCCCTAGTCTGACCTGGGATGCCTGGGACACTGTCTTGTACTGTGCTATGAGATGGGCTGGGATTATCATCTCTGCACAGCACCATCCCAATCTCTGCTCATTTGAATGCTCCTTGATTAAAGTTCACTGCCCTGCAGTCCTAAGAGCAGGCTGCTCACACCCTGTGTAGGAGTCAGTGGGGTTTCTTCTTGTTTTGCAGAGATTATTTTCTGGGTGTGATCTCATCTAATTGAGGTACCTACAGATGAATGCAAACATTGATGATAGTTACATTCATCCAATTTCATATTGGTAGTCAGAAGTTGATGCTAATGAAGTTCAGCAAATGACAGTAAACGGCAGAAAGTTCTATTACAGAGCCTCTCATGTCAACAATGTTGCAGTCCATTTAGTCTTTGGGCATAAGAATCTTCTACTATGTAATGGTGCTTCTATTTGCAGTAAATTGCTTCTCATTATTCAGATTCTAACAGTGTCTGAGAGTCATTACATCCTGATTCCTAAATATATATGAATGCCTCTTTTTTTCTAAATAGTGCAAATGAAATAATATCAGAGGCCCAGAGATGTATAAGTAAAGTGTGGGAAGAATTTAAGGGTAGCTTGAGGAATTGATAGACTTACTAAATAGAAAGTGCTGCACATTTTCTAACAGTAAGTTGCTCTCCTATAAATTGTGACACTGCCATGAACTGCAAGTAGATTATTCTTGAGCTCATCGTGTTCTTGAGCTCATTTAGAGTTTGTCAAGTAGCTCTCAATTGCTTTATGTCATATAATGTGTGTCAGAGAAGATCATGTCTCTGCAGTTAAATTAGTGCAGGTCCAGGGCGTGACATGGATGCCTGGAGACACTTCCCTGTGTTCAGTTATGAGAAAGCTGGGTCCTTCTGCTTTGCACAATGGTACCACTTCCCCTGATGATTTGCGTGTCCCCAGCACACAGCTCACTGCCTTCAGACTTATGAGCAAGTTGCTTACACCTAGTACAGGATCAGTGCCAGTAAGGATACAGCATGGACAGGAGGGCCCCTGTTCTGCTCCTGGGGCTCCTCCTACTCTGGGTCCCAGGTGAGGAAGGACAACACCAGGAATTGAATTCTTCCAGTGTGATCATGTGTAAGAACATGATGATGAGAGTGGATGTTTGTGTTTTCCTTCTCAGGTGCCAGATATGTCTTTGTGGTGACCTAGACTTCATCCACGGTGTCTACAAATGAGAGAGGCACAGTCACCAACAATTGCGAGACGGATCAGAGTGTTGGCAGTGCTCTAGCCTGGTATCAGCAGAAACCAGGGCAACCTCCAAAGCTCCTGATCCGTAGTGCATCCACTTTAGCCCCTGGGGTCCCTGACAGGTTCAAGGGCAGTGGATCTGGGACATCATTCACTCTCACCATCAGCCCTGTGCAGGCTGCGGATGCCGGAATCTACTACTGTTATGGTTATTATAGTTATGCTAATAATACTAACAAGCCTGAACAAAAACCACCTAGGAAAGCAGAAGTGTGAGTCTGCGCTGCCCCAGCTGAAGTTGAAGTGTGGGAGTTTTATTTGCTGCTTCTAGTGGTCTACACTGTAGGTCTAGAACCACATTACTGGTGTCATAAAGATGGGAGTCCTGCTTTATCACACTAACAGATAGGCAAAAGAAATTCAAGCTTTTTTTTTTCATTTTCTTAATCTTTCTATCCCTTACAGAGGAGAACTGACATGAATTGAGATGAGACACACATGTAACAACTAGAATTTTTCTCCAATGTGAAGGATTCTAGAATTCACAGCAAATTTGTATTGGAGTGGAGAAGCACTGGAAGCAGAGACGTGAGACTGAGAAGAGAAGTGGTAAGGGCTCTTAAGTCAATTTATCATACCTCAGGATGACTGCATGTTAAGCACACATGGAAAACAGGGATTGTCTAATGATTGACTCAAAGATGTGTGGGTGCTGGGGTCCTTAGCATCTCCTTCTGTATCATACATAGAGCGTTCCCTAAGGGCTGCTCATCCCATGTCCTGTGGTAAGCATTTTGCAGTTTAAGCTGCCTCCCCAGCTCAGAAAGCTCAGTGTAGCCCAGGCAGGAGTGGAGGGAGTCAGCAGAAGGACAGGGAAGGGTAAGCATGGGGTGGTGCTGATGCTCTCTTCCTTCAAAGACGTGTGTATTCCAACTTTAAGGAAGTTTGCTTCTCTTTGATTTGCATAAGCTCTTTAACAGCAGGTTCCTTTGGAAGTCTAAGGTGGGCAGCAGATTTTTTTTTTGTGGCTGAACCCTTGTGGTCTTGTCACTTGTGATCATGCCTCAGTAATGCCCACCACTTCTCTGGTTTGCAGGCTTCATGGCATTGAGGTGTGAGTTCCTTGCCATATTCTGGTGATGCAGACTGAGTAACTGGCACAAAAGTCGAGATGTGAGATACAGGGGCACAAACATGAGTCTAAGTCTATTGGAATCCACACACTGCTCTATGTTATTGGTACTAGATTGACAGACTCCTGGGCAGGGAGAAGGCAAGTGCTCCCATCCTCCTCTGACCCTAGCAAAGAGTAACAGAGAAATGAGGTACTTTCAGTGCATGACCTGGTCCTGCACCAAGCATCAGCAACCCTCATCTAAGTTAGGCGGGTTAATAATTGATCTTTCCCCTGGGCTATCTCACCTGTTCTGTACCAATCAGTTTCCAGACATGGTCCACATGAGCCCCAGTGTTAGATACTGCAACTCAGAGAAACCAGAAGAATCTACAAAAGGTTTATTTTCAATAGAATTGTACTGAATGTGAACTCATATAATGGGTCTTGTGGATCCCAATCCAGATACCTACAGATGACTGTAAACACTGATGATAGTTCATTCATGACATTTCACATCAGTGATCAGAGCTTCATCCTGCTAAAGTTCAGAAAAAGACAGCAAATGGCAGAAAATTGTATTGCAAAGGCCCTTATGTCAAGAAAGGGGTGCCTATTTAGTCCCTGGGCATAAGTGTCCTCTCCTATATTACGGCGCACCTATCTGCAGTAAATTGCTTCTCATTATTCTGATTCTAATGGCATCTGAGTGTTATTATATTGTGGCTCCTAAATATATATGAATCAGTCTCATCCTCTCTTCTAAATAAGTTAAATGAAATAATTTCAGACTCCCAGAAATGTATAAGCAATGAGTAAAGCATTGGAAGAATTTGAGGGTAGGCTAAGGAATATATAGAATTATTCTATAGAATGGTACTGCATATTCTGTGAAAATAAATTTTCTGTAAAACGAAAAAGCTAATGAAAAAGAGTAGATGACACAATCTTGTCCATCGGCCCATTTAGAGTTTGTCCACAGCCCCTCTAAATGCCTTATGTACATAATATGTCCAGAGAAGGTCATGTACTCTGTAGGTAAATTAGTGCAGGAGAGGGGATGACCTGGGTGCCTGCAGACACTCCCCCTGTGCTCAGAGATGAGATGAGCTGGGCTGTTCTGCTTTGCACAAGGATATCATTTCCCTGCTATTTTACATGTGCACAGGACACAGCCCATTGCCCTGCACACTTATGAGCAGGTTGCTTATGCGCTGTGCAGGAATCAGTGCCAATCAGGATACAGCATGAACATGAGGGCCCCTGCTCAGCTCCTGGGACTCTTGCTGCTCTGGCTTCCAGGTGAGAAAGGATAATACCAGGAATTGAATTCATCCAATGAGGTCAGTGCTGACTGAAACTTCCTGTCTCTGCTGTATGAACCTGATGATGAGAGTGGATGTTTGTGTTTCCCTTCTCAGGTGCCAGATGTGCCTTGGTGGTTACCTAGATTCCAACCACGGTGTCTGCAAAGGTGGGAGACACAGTCACCATCACATGCACGACGAGTCCGAGTGTTAACAGCAATTATCTATCCTGGTTTCAGCAGAAACCAGGGCAGCGTCCAAAGCAACTGATCTACTTTGCATCCACTTTAGCCCCTGGGGTCCCTGACAGGTTCAAGGGCAGTGGATCTGGGACATCATTCACTCTCACCATCAGCCCTGTGCAGGCTGCGGATGCCGGAATCTACTACTGTCAAGGGTATTATAGTGCTAGTAGTACTACTGCGGTGATATAAGTCTGAACAAAAACCACCCATGAAAGCAGAAGTGTGAGTCTGCACTGCCCAGTTCCCCATTCTAGATTCTCTATCTGCTAAGAGTCTTTGTCAGATGTAGTCAGTCTTGATGGTCCCTGAGATGTAATAAGACATCGCTGAGACTCTTTTGCAGCCTCCCTCATTTCTTCCTACTTGGCACCTGAAGTACTGATATGTTCATGTTTGAAAAGGTTCATTGTAAAGGTGACTGTATGCCTGGAACCTGGGCCATCCAGATATTTCCCTTCATTCTGTTAGAACACTCTGCTTCCTGAAACGCCATGAAGCAAATGGAATATAGGCAGTTCTTGGGAGTGTTAGATATATGGGACAGTTGCCTTTGAAGCATTCTGTTCACTATTGTTTGCATTGAAGTGGTAAGGTTGAAACCTGTGGTTATACATTGCTAATCTTCACTGCCTGCTTTCTGCTTTGTGCCAATGTAGATACTGTAACGTAAATACTTACTATAAAAACCGCTCACAAATTTGGGGGGGGAGCTTCTTTGTTCTTGAAAAGAAGTAGCCATCCGATAGAAGTGTAAAGACATTTCACTCACCTTGAAGTTTTGTGTGATTTTTTTGAACCCCAACACATGTTTCTACTGATTTAAAGGAAATAAATGATTATGTCTGGGTTCTCAATGTTACAACAAACTTTTCGGATTCATGTTTTAAAAAGGTAAGCTTATCGATATTTCAAGCTGAAACACTTAGCACAGTTTATTAGTATCTAAGTTATATTCTAATGTTTTAGAAATGTGGGGATCAGAGATGGTAATTGTAGAAATATGGGACTCTGCGCTCTCTCAGAATCCGAAGCCCCCTTGCTACAGGAGGAACAGGCTGCTGACTGTGCTCCTCCTGCAACTGATGTTGTCAGCTGCCTGCGACCTCACAGGTGGTTCTTCTGTCCTCAGTGTTGTCTACTGGTCAGACTGCAGTTGTAGAAGGATCGTGCAGATTTTGTCTTCTGACATTCACACATGGGTTGTTTCCCCAAGGTACAGAGTGAGTTCTTGTGGAGATCTGAATTTTAGCCCAGGCCAATGTATGCTTAAACATTTTCTTCTGCATGGCCATGTTTCATGCCATAAGTAGAGATAGAGAACAAGAAAACAAGGGTGATGCGAAATTCAGGCTTCATGCTGACCTGTTTGACTCTATGTTGCTCCAGGTCTTTAATCCAGCCTTCTCTGCACATACAACTATCTCAACACCTTCACAGTCCACAGGGGATTCCATTTCAGATTTTTGGGGAAAGAGGTATCTTGCATCCTGACCCTTTCCTCATCTGCTCTATTCCTTTTCATCCCTTGGTCTCAGCTCTGTCCTCTCATATTCTGTAATCTTAGTTTCTCCACCTAATACTGAGGCAGAAAAGCAAACCAATCAGAACCTCTTCCTCCACTCACTCTTTGATAGCTGAGTCCTAGACTCTCACATACCTGATTGATAAGAGTTCAGTAAGATGTTTCACTCAAGAGATTATCCCTCTAGGAGAAATTTTCACTACCACCTTACAAACATCTATTGCCTAATTTTGCCAAACTTACACCAAATGAGAACAACGTGACTTTTGAGGATCTCAGATCAGCCATGCAATAGTTGAGGTAACAGAAATGATCTGGGGCTCGGCGTGATAGCGTAGTGGTTAAAGTCCTCACCTTGCATGTCCAGGATCCCATATGGGCTCCGGTTTTAATCCTGGCGGTCCCACTTCCCATCCAGCTCCCTGCTTGTAGCCTGGAAAAGCAGTCAAGGACGGCCCAAAGCCTTGGGACCCTGCACCCGTGTGGGAGACAGAAAAGCTCCTGGCTTCGGCTGGCTTTGGATTGGCTCAGCTCTGGCCATTGCGGCCACTTGGGGAGTGAACCATCAGACGGAAGATCTTCCTTTCTGTCTCTCCTCCTCTCTGTATATCCGCCTTTCCAATAACTAACTGACTAACTAACTAACTAAATAATTTAAAAGAAAGATCTGGGGCCCGGCGCAGTGGCGCAGTGGTTAAGGTCCTCGCCTTGAACTCCCGGGATCCCATATGGGCGCCGGTTCTATCCCAGCGGCCCCGCTTCCCTTCCAGCTCCCTGCCTGTGGCCCGGGAATGCAGTCGAGGACGGCCCAAAGCTTTGGGACCCTGTACCTGCGTGGGAGGCCCGGAAGAGGCTCCTGGCTTCGGATTGGCATAGTATCAGCTGTTGCGCTCACTTGGGGAGTGAATCATCGGACGGAAGATCTTCCTCTCTGTCTCTCCTCTCTGTATATCCGCCTTTCCAATAAAAAAAAAAAATAAAAATAAATCTTAAAAAAAAGAAATGATCTGAATTTGTGTTAGCTGGATAAAAGTTATTATTTATTATTATTGGTTCACTATTTATATGAAACTACATACTTGTGTCATCATTTCAATTCAGGAGGTCAGAGGCCTCACTGGGATGAAACCGAGGAGGCAGCAGGGCTGTGCTCCTTCTGGCAGCTCCAGAGGGGAGGATCCAAGTCTCTGTTCTTGCAGCTTCAGGATGCCCCACGTGTCCTGTTTCTGTTATACCTCCCTCACCTCACTACAACTACCTTCTCCACTGTCATACTAGCTGTTCAGTATTGGCCTTCCTGCTTATTATGAAGGGAATCATATTTTATTACATTGCTCTCAGCCAAATAATTCATGATAATCTCCAGATTACAGTCATCAGCTAATTAATCTACCAAATCTTTCTCACAATTTTTAATACTCCCAGGACCCAGAGCTTTGGTTTCAGCTTTGAAACCAAGAGCACCAGGTTAAGAAAAAAATTCAGTCTATCAGAAGACACATGAGGCTAATTGGAGAGCAGAGGAGTTGTGGAAGTAGAAGTGCTTGAAAACTCAGGGCTGAGGACTAAATCAGGTGGTGTCCCTAGGGAAAGAGATACGAGTTTCCTCAACCAAGGAAGGAAATGGCTCATCAAGGATCTTTACAGAGTCTTCACGGTCTGGTCCCTCGTGTGAAGGACCCAATGCAGAAAGTTCCACTGTCTTCCCTTGTTATTACCATATGCTCCACAGGGAAGCAGGAGACAGTGCCTGCTCTACAGACAACGGAGACAGATCAGGGCAGGAAGGAAGCAGCTGGGACAGCAGGAGCTCATTCCCCCGTGGCCCTGGGAAGAGGCTTGTGTTGGAGGTCAGGTCCCTGTGAGAGGACTGCTCTCATGCTGCACACAGGAGTAATCTCCCATGTCCTTGGCCTTGAGGATGCTGCTGCTGATAAGAGTGAAATCTGTCTCTGACCCAGTTCCACTAAATGTTAGGGAATTCAGATGTTTGAGTGGCTGTCTAGTTGCTGAGTAGTTTAGGCACCTATTCTGGTTTCAGCTGGTACCAGACTAGGTAGTTGTGGATAGAGCTGGTTATAAGACTCAGCTGGACTTGCAGTTGATGGCAACCTTCCCTTCTGCAAATACAGTCAGGGAGTTTGGAGAATGTGTCATCCTGATGTCTCCACAGGCACCTGCCATGAGGAATCAACAGCAACCACACAATGTATCACTAAATCTTAGAGAATACATAACTGGGAAATGTAAGATTTCTTACTCCTTAGAATAAATTAGACTGCTCAGATGAAATACTGAAAGTTTTGTGATACAATGTGACATGATTGGAATGCTGGTCACTCCTTAAATCTAATCTGAGACCCAGAGGTCCAGGGGGATGAGAAGTTGAGCTGTGGCCCCATCTTTCTGCTGCATCTCCTGTGGGATGCACTCAGGCCCTGGAAAAGCCCTGGGGAAGCCCATTCCTAGAGCTCTGACAGCCTTGGGTCTGTGGAGCCTCTGCAAAGCACCAGGAGGATAACAGCCACAAGGCACCTGTGAGGAGTCACAGAGACCAACAATGGAAGCAGGAGACAGAGATGTCATCACCCCAGGAAATGTGATTCTCTTCCTCCCAAAGGACCAGGGCCAATCCAAAGATGTAATTTATTGTTAAATTCAGCAGTCTCCTGATGCAAATTGTATAACAATAGCACAATTTCAAATCAATTTGTAAGCCTCAATAACCTGTCATAGAATGCATTGATTGTGAGGATGCGATTTAAAAACTTTCAACACACCAGATTTCTTCAGAAAGTTAATGGCAATTTGATTTCTTTCAGAAAGAAGTTGGAAATTATGCTTAAGTTTCTGCATAACGTGGATTTCCTACACATTTTTGACAATGTCATGTTAATATACACTTCCTGTGGTGTGTGAGTGAATGTTCCTGGGCAGAATAAGGATAATGTGTGCTTGTTGATATCTGTCAGAGTCTTTTTTATCTTTATATGTGTATTTGAAGCTCCTCTTGAACCAGTGAAGCTGCTTCAGTAAATCCATATCAGACTTCTGCTATTTTCCTCAGCCCAAAAACCATTTCAAAAGAAGTCAAAACCAGGAATTCTCCTTTGTTTATGGAGAAACTTCTTTGACGTGAACTTTTAAAAGACAGAATCCCCACCATTAATTTGGGTCTTTTTTTTCTTCCTGCCACTATTGCAGGGGTGAGGGTTCTTTTCTCTCTTGAAGCCCCTCCTGGCACTAGGACGGGAGTCTCCTCATCATTTCTAATAAATCTTGTTTTAAAACTAAACTGCATTCACATGAAAATTCTTTTCTGTGAGACAAAAATTGAGGTTGATGCTGTATTCTGGGTCAAAAATCCTACAACAGTGATGCATCTTCTCTAACAGTAATTTGTTCTGTAAATTGCAAGATATCCATGAAATACAAGTTGATGACACCATCCTTTCCTTGACTCACGTAGATGCTGTCAGTTACACATCAAAGGCCCCTTCGTCCCATAATGTGTGTGCGAGGATATTGTTCTCTGCAGGTAAATTAGTGCAGCCCAGTGGGTGACCTGGGTGCCTGGAGACACATTCCCTGTGCTCAGTTATGAGATGATCTGAGCTCTTCTGCTTTGCACAAGGATATCACTTCCC